CAGAGCCAGCCTTTGCAGCCTGGATATCTGGTGCTGGGCTTCGAACAAACAAAGCTTCTCTTTTGGTTGCTCCCTGGAGGACCCTGGAGAGAGGCCCAACAGGAGGTTGCCTGGGGGTGAGGTCTGGGGAGTGTGACCTGCGTCCACACTGGCCCAGCTGCCCCAGCCCCATCTTACACTGCAGAAAGAGGAGCGAGATGAGCACTGAGAGGGGGGTGGTAGGTCAGACAGAGACAGAGACCACGAGCAAGATTCATGAGGTAGAGAAAGAGAGACCAGGGCAGAGGGAGAAACCCAAGGTCATAGACCCTCGGGCAGGCAAGCAAAGTGAGAACCAAGACCCTGAGAGACGGCGTCCGTCAGTGAGGCGGAGTTTACGGAGCTGCCCCAGGGGCCGGGCTCTGACGTAGGGACTGAGGACCCAGAGGAAGGGAGACGTCTCTGCCTCTCAGAGCTCTCTGCCTAGTGGAGAAAGGCGTAGGGGGAGGAGACAAACGAGTCACAGGGAAACTTCCCTGGCCTGCTGGGTTCAGATAGCAGGAAGACAGTACAACAGGGCGAGGTGACAAGATGGCTGAGACCCAGGGGGACGGGTGGCAGGGAAGAGCAGAGAACATACAGGGACGGTTAGCAGGCCATGGAGGGAGGGAAGAGAGTGAGAGAAACCATGAGAGAAATGACAACAGAGAAGCCTGCAGACCAGAGGCCATGGCAGAGATGCCACTGGTCAGGAAGCCTGAGACACCGACGCAGAGCAAGAGAAGGGACAGAGAAAAAACGTGCCTGAAACCAGGGAGGCTGGAGACGGGAACGGAATGAGAAGGCTAAGCAGAGGAGGTCAGAAAGCAGGAAGTTTGGACACACACACACACACACACACGACAGAAAGGCAGACCCTGCTGCCAGTCCAGACTATAGAGCTGGGTTTTCGAGACCTCTCCTAGAGCCAGGAGCATCAGCCTTCTCATTGCCAAGGGTTACTTTCATTATCCTCCCCAGTGGGCCCCAAGGTTTGAAAGATATTTGTCTACCAAACAATCTGCATTTCATAAGTAATAATTAATTCGCTTTCCCATTTTTTATTCATCAAAGACATTTATAACTGGCAATCAGGGCTTCAGATCAGCGGGAGAGAGCGCGTGTCGCCGCATTTCCAGCCAAACGCCAGGAAACTGCCATCGCAGGCATCAGCTGCGTGCAGCCTGATCACAGGTAAACGCGCCATTTCTGTTAAGTTTGGGGTGACGTTGACAGTAGTTCAAAAACACAAGGAGAGACCCCACTGCCTTCACAGAGCCCTGTGGAACCAAGGGCCCAGTGTTCAGATGACAGTCCCAGAAAATTCCCTGGTCCCAGGCCGAGATCCTGGGTAAGGTAGGCTCCTTCCTCACAAGTATGTGGCCAGAGGTGGGTCCACGTTATTGATCCAGCTGGCTTTTGACACAAAAACTGTACCTGTTAAATAACAGCAAAAAAGCCTCTGTTGAGCTCCAGCTGCTCGTCCAGTGCTCACCTCCCCCTCGGCCATGTTTGTCAAGAGAGGACGAGCGGACCTCAGAAAGCTCATGGTGAAATCGAATTCAAGTATGAATTTATTCTTGTGCAAAAAAAAAAAAAAAGAGTTCCCCATGCACAGTTTTTCCCTAATATGCATGTTCCTGAGCTCTGTGAAGACCTTCGTCTGGCTCTCTCCTGACCTCCTGCAACATGGGTTACCACCTTTCCTTCTTCTCCAATCTCGGAAAGTCTCCCATTGTCTTCCGTGTTGCCAAGCTAATGGCTTTTTCAAACTCAGATCTCTCGAGTGTTTGGCATTGCAGACACGGCCTTCACACTGGATGTTTTCAGAGACAGACGTGGGTCCAGAGACCTCATGCACACGGATGAGTGGGTGCCAACAGGGCTGGCTCACAGATGTGGACACGGGTCCAGAGCTCTCATGCACACGGATTAGTGTGTGTGCCAACAGGGCCGGCCCTGGCCTTTCAGTACAACTCGGCCTTGGCCAGCCACTCGTCCCTGGGTCTTGTCTCTTGGTCACCCTGTCACTTTTGGGTCCTGTAATAGCCCATAGAGATTGATACTTCTATTTGCATCACCCTGGTCTGAGACCCTGGTCATGCCCCCAACTCTGCACCTGCAGGAAAAACTTGGTTTGGGGTCTGCACACAATCCATTTCAGGACTCTGACCCTGAGCTGTGTTGGTCTCAGCTTGCTTTCTTGCTTGACCCTCATGGGAGTGTTCTTTCAGGCCCTCCTGCAGTGTTTCCTGCAGCTTCACTGCCTTGCCTGTTGGCTCAACGTCCTCTCCCTGTGTCGCCAATGGTGGGCACTGCCAGGGCCTTCTGCCCTGCCCTCAGTGGCTGCCCTCCTCACAGTGCTCTCTGCTGAGCAGCAGCTGTGCTAACGTGGACGCCGCTCCCAGCCCTGCCCTGGGCTGCGATCGCCCGCTGTGTGTGTGCTCGTCCTGCCCCCACTCTGAAAAGCTATTGCCCACCCTCCGTTTCTGCTGTTAAGTGCCCACCATCCCTTAAGGCCCACTTCCTTGCCTATCCCCTGCTGCAGGGAGCCCTTTGATGAACACAGGTGGGGCTCAAAGCATCCAGGAGCAGTGGGAGCTTGGTAACTGACTCCCAGGAGACCCTGAAAACAAACAGAGTATATTATCCTGGCAAGCGTGGACCTGGGAAGAAAAAACAAACTGAACGTTCAGAAACCAGGAATAAGAACACGGCGGGGAGGCCAGCAGATGGCATAATGGTTACCTCACTGGACTCCCACATAGTCTAGCTGACCATGGTTCAAATTCCAGATCGGGCAACTTAAAACTCATGCTGGGCACGTGGACGTGTGTGCCCAAAATCCCGAGAGAAGAATGGAGAAGGGATTGCGGCATGTCCATCTCCTGTGGGGGGTGATTTCTCTCTGTCTCTCTCTGTCTCTCTGGCGAGCACATGCATCCTATAGCAAGAATCTCTCTGAAGAAAAAAAAATACAGTTGGACAAAATCGGATGCCTTTTACTTCCACAGCCAGGACTGGGGTTCCAGAGTGTTCTAGCCACAGTGGGGGTGCATGGTGGGTACCATGTGAGCTGAGGGCACGGGGTCAGAGCAGATAACTCCCGGCTGCCCCAGAGGGCTCGCGCCTCCCTTGTCATCAGCGTGCTCCCTAGGAGGTCTCTCGCTCTCTTTCTTTCTCGCTCTCTCTCCCCCTTCCTCTCTCTCCCTCCACCCTGCTAGTCTCCCAAAGTACTTTATCTTATCACCAATCACATCTCACTCACAGCTTGTGTTTGTGCACATGTTTTTTTTTTTCTCATGAAAACATAAAATTTCACAAATATTGGTGATATTAACTCACTAACTGTGTATTAAAATTAGGAGAAAATTCTATTTGAAGAAAAACTTAAATAAATGCAGTGTCTAGGGATAGATTTATTCCCTCCTCACTTTCAACCTTGTCTATAATTAATTTCTACTTGGAAATCTTGTTCATTTATTTATTCAACAAACATTTACCAAGCGCCTGTCATATGCCAGGCACCATGCTAAGAGTTGAGTAGCTCAAGAACCGAAATACGGTCCCTCCCTCTGAGGGCCGACGGTAGAGACGGGGAGATGGGTGAGTAGACTGTCATAAGGTGGGGTGACTGCCAGGCAGAGACATAGGGAGCACCTGGGGAGTCTCCAGGAAGGGGGTGTGGCCAAGGTTTGAAGAGGAAGTGGGCAGGGAAGGCAGCAGGGACACCTTCCTGTTCCTGAAGTTGAAAGGGAATCGGAGAGGGAAGGGGGACTTCCGGTCAGCATGATTAATGTGGAAAACGGGGAGGGAGTGACATGAAAATGAGTGGGATGGCGGCTGCTCAGAATGGCTGATAACAGCATGCAAAGTGGGGCCGGGGGGGGAGGTGAGGGACCCTCACGACGTCCTAGAGTTTACATGATGCACGCCTTCGCTAGGCTAAGTTCCCCGTGCCATTGAAGAGGGGTGAGCAGGGAGCGGCACCCTGCGTTTGGTTGGTAGAAAGATCCTTCTGGGAACAAGATGGGAAGACAGTGCCTTAGTTCAGGTGACATGTGATCAATGAAGGGCATGGGGATTGAGGGAATGGGTGAATGGGATAATAGAAAGCAGAATGTGTCTGTGGGCTTTAAAGGCTGAGTTATACATTTTCCGTGACTGTCCTTACGTCCACACCTCCCTGGGCTGGGTTTGCTCTTGACCTGAGCTCTGGCTTTCAGGGCTGGTAGTCGACTCATCCCCACTGGATGGCCTGCCCCAGTCACCCAGGGACTCATAAGCCTCTACATTCAAACATGCTACATGGATCTCTGTTTGCTTTTGGTGTCACCCAAACTGGGTGTCACTCCTGCCATCTGGATTTTTCAGCTAGGTCATAGTCCAAAAATAATACATTTCTGTGACCGAATCTGGACTCACAACCCATCCCCATCGTCTCCTACCTCCCATGACTGCCTTTCTTCTCTTTTCATGGCTCCAAAAACACTGGTGACATATACAGCTGTTCGTACTCAATTCCGTCCTCTCCTGGACTGTTTCTGTCCAATCAGGATTAAAGTTTACCTTGGTTGCCAGGGGGAACCATGCTATTAGTTATCTATTCACCCATCTTTGAAGCTCCACCACTGTGAAAGTTACTTTGCATTAAATTCTAAGGGAGTACTCATTACCTCGATTATGCTGGAAGAAACAGTTTTAATGCAAGCTACTCTTAAAAGAAACTTGTTTCTCTCCTGAATATTTTAGACGTATTTTGTAGAGTATAATTAATTTTTAAAGAAAATTACATAGTGTTTTTCTGACAAGCAAAAATAGATTGAGGGGAGCAGAGGAGGATGGGTAGAAAAAAGAGGAGAGAGAGAGAGAGAGAGACTACCTGAGCAGAGAAAGACAGAGACAAATAGAGAAAGAACAGGACAGAGACAGAGACAGAGACAGAGACAGAGTGGTCGCAGGCTACATCCTACCAGAGTTGCACTTTGCTCATTGCTATCTTTTTCAGAATAGTCTGTGGAACAGGTCATCCAAGGCACTTTTTTTTACCCACTTTATAAATTATGCCAAGACTCTCTGACGACTGCAGACTCAGGAAGCCACACCAGCACCAACAGTCGGTTCTGTGGTTTTTCACTCCTGGTTTCAATGCTCACAGAGGCTGCCATGACTTAGCACTTCCCCTTCTGCCCAATACATGATAGGTCTTGCTGCCATTGACCAGGATCACAAGGTGGTAAGGGCTGACAGTCCATCCACCCTCCCTGCCCCAACTCGTTGCCTGTCCTAATTTCCTGTCCTGCCCAGCTCCAGAAGTCCCAGCACTTTAACCCCCTACACACGCACCCGCTGAGGAAAACCATGTTGAAGCTGGTGGCATAAATGCAATTCATAGAAAAATGGGACTAGTCAAGGGGAACACCAGTCCTACAACGTCCCAGAAAAGCAACCATGTGCTGCTTCAGAACCTTGGACAGTGACATGAAGGCCCTCTGGTCCCTAGTCCCAACACCAGGCGCTGAGGCCTTGCTTTTCTGGGCAGTAGGCCCATTTAAACACTTAGTGCTCATGAAAGACCATGCAGGAGGGTCCTACCATGCAGGTAGGACATTCTGTGGAGCCAAGATGTACGGAGAAGTTTGTCTGGGTACGTTGATTCTGCATTTTTGCAGAACGCTGTTCTGAGTCCAGATAGTCGTCTCCCCCTGCCATTTTTCCCTCTCCCTCTCCCTCCCTCCCTCTCTCCTCTTTCTCTCTCTCTTCCCTCTCCTCTCCATTCCCCCTTCCTGTCCCCTCAAGCCCGGGTTTACACAGCCAGTACTAGCAGATACAGAATTTTGCCCCGCGTCTACCCTACTCCAACACTCACAACTCTTCCCCAGATGTAGAGCCTCTACGTCTGAGCTGCAGCTTCTTACCCGGAGGGAGGCCGCATCATCAGGCTGGGGGTTCCCACTGTAGGAATTTCTCAGACCTCTGAGGTCACACACTCTTATTGCCTGATCGTATCCTCTGCAGACGCAACGCCAACTCTGAAAAATTATCTCAGAGGGGAAAAAAAAATACAAGACTAAGCAAAAAAGAATACAAAAGCAAATGATTTTAGAAGGGGGAGCATCCGCCGCGCGTAGCACAGCCATCCGTCACTCCTGCGTATGATCTCCCAGCCCTTGTTGACACACTGACATATTTTCCATCAATGCAATCAGCGCGATTGTGGTATTTGCATTGTGTTTTCACTTCGTGTCTTATCGTAAACCTTTCCCAAGTTGCTATACAGTCTCTGTAATGATCACTTTTAATGTCTCTATAATGTTCTAACAAATGGATGCACCATGATTTACTAAACAGCCCCCTAATTGTGGAACATTTCAGTTATTTCCAGTCTTCTTATTTCATAGATTGTGCTATGATGAGCATTTTTATGTGAAAATCACACGGGGTGATGGGA